ATTGCATGGAGATCTCTGGGCTGCGGCTGCACGAAGCCTCCCCCCAGTGCTGGGACTGGAGGAGCCCGGACCAAGCAGCTGCCAGCCGTGCCCCTGCTCCCCTGGACTGGCAGCGGGCAGCTCGAACGCCTTGATCCCCAGGCTGGGGTTTGACTCTTCCTTCCTCCTCCTCCTCCTCCTGGTCCTGAGGAGTGCCGAGCCCGCTGGCAGCCGGCTGCACGGCTAGTGTGGAGAGAAACCGGCCGTAGAGCCGTTACACGGTCTAAGCGGTAGCTTCGTGGCAGGTTGCCTCTCTTTGTGTCTGGATGGTCGTTTTTGCGGCTTGCATGAGTGGTCAGTGGAAGTGCACAGCACAATTCATCAGTGAATGGCATGATCCTTCCTTTGCACTCAAACTATATTGCATGATTACATAATGGATGTAACGGGTAGCAGGGACCCAGGCAAGGCAAGTCTGCTAGGTCCTGCTGTGACCAAAACCCAGGGGTGAGGGGGAAGCATCCGCTTTTGTGACAAAGTCTTTTGCTGGGCACCAAACTTCCAGTGGAGGAAAATAGATCCTAAAATGTTTTTAGTATCGTGTTTGGGTCAAGTCTCAGGGGTTTTCCAGCAGCCGGGAAGGTCTCCTGAAGCAAAGCATGACATGTTTCCTTGCTTGTCAGATCCAGTACAAGTATTTAACCACCACTTAGGTTGAACATGTGCTCGCCAGGAGAGCACGCTGCCTTGTAGCAGCCCGAGCATGTGTCCATGCGTTCATTTGTCTGGTGGCACTTGCAGACACCCACAGGATATTTCCTTGGCGCTTTGTTCGGGGTGGAGGTGTTAACTCAGGTGTCCCAACTACCTTCCAGCAGGAGGAATGATCTTTATTCCCGTCCTTCCGCTCCCACGACACCTCCCTCTGTTACCCTTTGCTCCTGTTCTTCATTGTCTTGGAGTATCTCTGCGCTCTCTTGAACGCTTGGCATTTATCATCCCGCCGGCAGCTGCAGGGCTGGGACACTATGGGACATACAGGCTCCCATCCGCCAAAGTATTTGGGCTCCTTGTTGCTGCATAAGTGCTTAAGTCTCTCGGATTTGATTTGGAGCAAGGTGCCTATGTGCTTTTTGGGGATGATTATGTGTGTGTGACAGTTCACACGTTGTCTCCCCAGACCCTATTCTCCAGCTGGCCCCTGACTACGACGTCGTCCATCCCATCAAGGTGGACGAGAGCGGGTCCTTTCTGTCCTATGATCTGTCTCAGCGCGCAGTTCACAAGAGGGCCCTCTCCCCAAGGACCGGTTTGCCCGCCTTTTATGAACTGCATTACAAAGGACAGCACCTGAGGTTCAACTTAAGCCTCAACAGCCAGCTCCTGGCTCCTGGGTTTGTGAGCGAGCGGCGCTATGGAGGAATCGCTGAGGCCAAGATCCACTCCTACGGTCACAATTCCTGCCACATGCTTGGAGAGGTTCAGAGCCAGGCGCTGAAAGGGGGTTTGGCAGCTGTGAGCACCTGTGATGGGCTGGTAAGTATTCCCGGGGAACTCATTGAAACTAATCACCTTGTATCAAAGTACTAAATAACTCAGTCGCTATTGAGCATGGGAGTGAGGGGCACGGCCTCTGAATCAGACCTTCGGTGCAGTGGGTACAATGGGTAGAAAACCCCCACATTGTACCCAGCTCACTCTGCCTTTCAGCATGCACAGTCAGCCACGGTGTGCCATGGGAGATGGGGCAAGATGGATCTGTGGTCTGATCCAGTAAATGGCAGTTCTTACATTGATCTGTCCTGAACGATGGGTGAAATCCAGGCTTTTACTGACAAAACTCCCGTTGACCTTCTTCAGGACAAAGCTTCCTCCCACAGGCTGGATTCTGCATCCAGTAAAGTTAATGGCAGATTTCTCTGGTGCAGGTTAGCTCTTGTCCTCCCACCTATTTGCTTGGGCACGTTTGAATACTGGATCCCACAGCCCAATGCCTGCTGTTAGATTTAGACATCCCTGTTCTTGTGCAGATGTCTTGGGGTAGCAAGGATGCTGATTGCCAGGAGGCAGTGAAAGGTGCCATGTTGCCTTTATGTGCCTGACCATAGTCAGACTGAGGGACCTACTACTGTTATCCCCACCGAGAGAGGTCTGTGATTCAGAGATGAGGAGGGTTCAGTAGGTTTTGGTTTGATGCCTGCGTGTGAGACTGTCTGTTGTCCCAAAGCAGGTGTCTCTGGTTGAGAACCAGGACATCAGCTGTTTTAAGCAAGAACAAGGTTTGCTCAGTGCAAGGGTTGGGTCTGCAGGAATATGATGCTCTTTTTAATCAGAGACCTGGAAAGATAAAAATGATACTCAAATGTAGGAATTTACCCCCCAAATTGGGTGAGGAAACCACCGATGGCATGGGGAACATGCTCAACTGGTGGAAATCGTGATAGCTCCAGTGTGTCTAGTTGTAAAAGCCATAAGAGAGGCATCTAAGCAGGGGACACAGGATACCTGTGTATCATGCAGAAAGGTGAAGTAGGATGACTGTGACCATTCCATTGCGGCGGGTGTTATTTATGATTTAGGGTGTAAAAAGAAAGGTGCAGGAGGTCCTTGTGAGTGCATCATGTCAGGGTCAGGAAAGGTTTGCTCCCCTGGCACTGGCAGGAGATATACTGTGGAAAGAGCAATGAGAGGTACAGAGGACCTTGGGTTTGTACTGAGACCAGCATGATATGAACGGTCTCAGGGAGCTCTCACCACATTACAGTTCATTACAGTGCAGAATGAGGCTCTTTAATTTGCACTCCCCCACCTCTCAGTTTTACAGCTTGGACTCACGATATGATGGGTTTCTAGCTTTTGTTTTCAGCCTGCCAAGAAAAAAGAGTTGGGGTGGAGAAAACAGCTGGTGGCCCAGGCATAATGTTGGGAGCTGAGGTCGAATACTGCCTTTTGCACTAACATCTTTTGTGGCCCGGGGCAATTTCACCCTCTGGGTTATTGGGATTGTAACAACAACTTGCTTCTAGAGGTGGAGAAATGCTGTGGAGAAGATCTACGAACATCCATTCAAATGAGGCAAATTCATTTAGGAGACAGGCACAAACTCTGATTCATATTTTTGTGAACATTTGTACATCTGCATTTTTCATTGCCAAGGTGCTCGTAGAAATGGAGAGTGCTGGGCACACGCACGTGACGGTGCCTTTGCACACAGATACTTTGTGCACAACTCGTCACCCTGGAAGTATTCACATGGGCACACTAAATGCTGTTTGTGGGCAAGGTATTCGTCCAGTCAGGTACCAAAAACAACACTGTGGTCATGTCTGCGTGAGCAATTAATGCTATTTGGCTTTAGTGCATAGTAAATTTACTTCACAGTAGGTTAATTTACTGTGCAATAAATGCCTGCATGTGTAGACAGTGGCGCTTTACTGCGCAGTAGATTAGTCTACTGTGCAGTAAAGTATCTCATGTAGACACAGCCTGTATGACTTATATGGCTAGTCCCCCAACATGAGCTCAGCATAAAACATTACTCAAAGGAAGAACCATTGCAAATTGCTCATAGGCTGGAAGTATGGTCACACAAACCATTCCTAGAACAATATACAAATAATACATGGATTTTTGCAAAAATCTATCCACAAATTACCCACAAACAAGAGCGAGAACGAAATTCAGATAAATAACAAATGGCTTGTTATGAGTGACCCATCCAGGGTCCCCTTCAAGGGGACGGACGAGCTCACGTTCCTAAAGAAGTGCAGGGAAAGTGAAATGTGAGCAGGTCTGCTAAAATACTGATTGGCAGGAAAATTGCAAAACCAGAAGAGTTGTTAACAAAATTCCCAACGCAAAGTGCGGCAGGACTGGTGATGGACCGTTGTTATATTTCCATTTATTGAGAATCACCAGGGAATGTAGGTGGTAAATTGCTTCCAAAACACTGGGCCATTCAAACTGGCTTATGCATTTATGTATTTTTAAATTAAACCTGCTTTTTTTTTCAGCACCCAAAAGCTAAGAAACCCCAGAAGCTGTAATAACACCATACAACCTGTGTTACGTGATTGCTGTTGAAACTATAATGCAGCAAGCACTGTGGGTTTGTTATAAAGGATGAATCACATATCACTTGGAATTATGCTAGGCATTGCCGAATGTGAACAAGCTAGACAGCACCGTGGTGCAGAAGCTTAGTGCTACAGGCCCGGGGGACAGTGGCTTGCATTTATATATGATGAACATACCTTACACTAAAAGCCTTGTGCTGCTTCCATTGAAAACACTTTGCAATTCCAAGTTGTTTTATCCAAATGACTTGACCTGAAATTCCTACTTATGGCAAGATCAAGTGTAATTAGCATTCCTAGAGGCCAAGGAGCTCATCTCTTCTTTTTGTGCAACATCTGCTCTAGCATGTTATTCATGTAAGTTAGAATAACCGTATGTTGCTTAGGATCCTTTCCATTCCAGATTTGTGTTAGGTGATCTCGACCAGTGACACGAGATCAGGACAGTTAGGACTCTAGTCTGATAGACTATCAGGATTGAAAAATGGTGGTAAAATTGACTTTAAATTAGTGGTAGTATTAGCTTTAAATATAGACACTCCGAGCAAATCCCAATCATTGCTGATTATCATTTATTTGAAAGATTTGTCTGGGACGAAGTCTTGTGATGGACCCTGGTCCTTTGGAAGGCTAAACTGTGTGTGTAGGTCTTTGGGCAGCCAACATACACGCTGGAAGCGTTTCAGCACATTCTAGGGGATGGTGTTTTCCACCCCTGAATGTGTGCAAGCACGCACGCGCACACACACACACACACACACACACTAGCTGCTTTCCTGCATGGCTGCGCCTGCATTTGGGGGGGATAAAGGGAGTAGTGGACAATTTCAGGTCCACAAATCACATGCATGGCATGAAAGCATCATTACTTGGATTCGAGTATAGAATGCATCACCAAAAAAATGCAAGTTGAGGAAAGGCTGGCTGGGTTGTGAATGAGAAGGCGGCAGATGGACAGCGTGATTCTGTGATGAAAGCTAAGCTTTTGGGGCTTCAGTCCCTTAAACGCAGCTGCCTCTCATGAGCAGCAGGCACAAAAAAACCAACCAAAGCTCGGTCACCTCAGATGAGGGAGAGTGGCTGAGGAGGGGCTCAGAAAGACCAGAGGAGTCCCAGCTATGGGGTCTGCTGTGAGATCCCCAACCGTTAACATCCCCAGGAGAGGTAGGCCTTGCTGGGAGGTCTGCTCCAAACACAAACTCTCCCGAGTCTTTGGTTCGTGTTCCTGAGCCGTGGGAGAGGATGGGGTGAGTACCCAGCACGCTGGACTCAGGAGGTCATTTTCTTTTCAAGAGGCAACCAGAACAGTAGCAGGCAGGGGAAGGCGCGAGGGCCGGTGTTGTGGCTGATGCTGGCAGCAGAGATAAGGGAGAGGCAGGCAGGATGAGACACGAATCTGGGTAGCAGGGGTTGGATCCCCAGAGGCTCTGAGCCTTCATGGCTCCATCTGACATCCGCAGGTGCTCAGCATCTGAAAATGAAGACACCCCCCCACCCAGCCTTGTGCAAGGGAAGCCACTGAGGTAGCATGGCTAACAAAGGCCACAGTCCTGAGGCTGGATCCATACAGCTGGGCTCCTCTGATTGAGCCCCAAAATGTAATTCAGGAGGACCTGCCTTTGTGGATACAAGAGCAGGGGCAGGGCCTAACTTGGGGGGAAAGTCTGCCATTGCATGTTGGACCTCACCTGTTTATGGGAGACTGGAGTACAGGGGCCGCGTCTACACGAGATGCTGACTGTGCAGTTGTTATTGCACAGTCATTTAGTACCTGCATGCCCAAGTACTAAATGACTGCATAGTAACCGGCGTTGCCCTGCAACGCTACTGCGCAGCAAGCGTCTCTTGTATCCGTGGCCACTGAGTAGCATTTTGGCTCCTCTCTGGCTTGGAGACTCTGAGCACGTAGCACCAGAAACTTCCCTCTCTCCATACGCCATTAAATCCGCACGCAACACAGGGGTTGTGAGTGCCGCCTGGTAGGTGTGTTGCGCTGTGCGTGCATGCTCTGCAGCTGGAAGATTTCCACCGTGTGACAGGAGCCCTGGAGAGCAAGGAGCCCGAAGTGCTCTTAGGCCTCAGTGCACACACAGCACAGTGAGCTAGTGATCACACTCCCTGGATCAAACATGAGAGGCTAAGAAAACCAGCTTTATTGTGCCATGTTGTAGTCTTCCCCTTTTTTTTTTCTTCCTCGTGGTCTGCAGACAGTGGAAATGTCAGATCACAAAGCATAATAAACAAAGCCCAGCGGCAATGGGTTTCTGAGTCAGCACACCGCTCCTCCGACTGTTGCAGACAAACTCGAGACAGGACAAGGCTACTCTGCAGCAATTCACACAGTTAAGACCCCACCGAGTTATGTTAAAGCATGAGAATGCATTTAAACAACATATTTCTGGCAGCGATACCTCCCCATAGCTGTGTGGGCACCCACGTGTGATAAACCTGCCGACTCCTGCTGGGGAACGCCCTGTCGGATGAAAGGGATGCACAGAGCAAAGTCAGGAGAACAGAAGCATTTCCGATAGCTTGCTATCGTGGGCTCTTTGGTCCGAGGCCAGGCCGGGGTGCTCCATGTGAGTCAGGCACCAGAGAGTTTATTATTAACCAAACAGAAGCTTTTTGGATTTCAGTTCCCACCGAAGGAAAGATGTCAACAGCACATCGTCTCCTTGTTGCACTGACAGTGAATGCAGTTTGTCTCACTTAGTAACTCTGGGAACCGGGACACGGGACGGGGGTTTAGTCTGTAGGGTTGCATTCTATGCCCCGAACTTGAAATGGTGGGTTTTTAATTGAAACCTACCATTTCAATTTAGGGGTTTCCAGGACTGTTACGACAAGGGGGTCCGATCCTTTTTTTTTTCAGCAGAGCCTGCCCACAGCCAAGGGGAAAGCTGCCAGTGGGCTGAGCAGCCCCTGAGCTGCAGGGGACCCCGGTCCTTCCCTCCACCCCTCGGGGCTGCCCAGGATCAGAAAAAAAGGATCAGGCCCCTCACTGCTTCTGTCTTCAGCAGGCACCTAGATGCGGTGAGGGGCCTGATCCATTTTTTTGCAGAGCCTGCCCACCTTTCCCGCAGTCCGGGGGACGAGCTGACACCTGCATCATTGTAGTTTGCAATGTTGCGAACTAAACGACATCAGGATGTCATTTAGTTTGCAATGATGCAGACTCATTTAAAATGCCCGAAAGTCTTGCACTTGTACGGTGTGATGCCATTAAGCCACACAAAGTGACATTTCATCATGTGTACATGGTCATGGCGTCACGTGTACAAGCGCCCTCTGAGCTGCCTCAGATGCTCGAGATCCCGCCCTGATCGGATACTCTTGAAGATTCCTGCTTCTCTGCTTCCCTGAGGATGTCCTGATGTGTGAGGACAGGATACATGGCCTCTGGCTAAGGAAGCCTGAGAACCACGAGTGGCTTGGACGGTGCAGAAAGGCAGCCGCAGCTGGCTTCCAATATCTTGGCACCTTACCAATGCTCCTTGGTAAGCAGTAATATTTTGGGCTGTCACAGTAGCACACGGAAGAACCTTTCCAATGAGGGCAGAAGACAGAGTGTGACTGATATAGGGGAGAAAAAAAAGCTTCTCCCAGTATACTGGAACACGTGCCTGCTTCCTTCTCAGCATGTTCTGTGCCAGCACATTTGGAGAAGGCCCCATCTGGCTCCATCTCCATCTTGGCTGCTACTGAGTGCCTCAGGGTCAAATAACCCTACTGTTCTGCCACATTTCTACCTGCACCTTGGCAACAGGATCAGCTTAACTTTACTACATGCGCAAAAATGCTGCTTTCTGAATCTCAAGGCTAGAATGGGACTTTTAGTTCATTTTGGCTTGTTCCTCTGTGTCTGGGAGTTTGTAGTTCAGCACTCCGATAAAGAGGTAGAAGCAGTTGGTTCAGAAAACATCTGTTTCTGCACAAAATATTCGGCAAACCCTGTTATTGTCTCCATGGTAAGTTGACATATTCTGCAAATGACACTGACTTTCTCTCCCCTCCCAGAAAGGTGCATTTCGGCTTGCTAACGAAGACTATTTAATTGAGCCTCTGCCTGTAAATACGCATGAAGACCGCGCAGCCCGACCCCACCGGATATATAAACGCCATGCACCAAAACATGGGCAAGAAGACTTGATGGTGGAATCCAGCAGAAAGCAAGAAAGGAACCAGCCCACTACTGTGAGAACGTGTGGTGTGCAAGGTATTTTATCTGCTTTATTACCATTTGGTGGAGAGCCAAAGATAGGGGATTTAATAATGCACGCATCTAAAATAGACCATGTGAAGGTAAGCACAGAGGGCCCAACCCTGCAAGGTTTGCTCAAGCCCCACTACAGAGACATTGATATCAGAGCCCAGCATCTTCCTCTTGCAGTAAGCACACCGCATCCAACACGCATGCCCCTCCCTGCACAGGACTGCTAATCCTAGACCATATCATACTTATGCTTGAGGTGGGACTGGTGGAATTTATTCTACTGAAGGCCAGGTTTGCAAGGGCGACTAGGCTGCTGAAAAGAAAGCCCTGTGGCTGCACAAAGGCATGGGCCAGCATGAGTGCTTTTGCACCTGGAAGGGAGAGGAGCCAGAAAGCTCACAAAATCTATTGGTGTTAATCTGTTTTCTGTGTCTGGCAGCACTGTGAAACCCTATGACTGATAAGGTGCAAAGGGCTTGACAGTGAATCAGTGCCAGGGGTCCAGGATTAGAAGCAAACACATTATTTCCACGGGCATCTCTGTTGCAGGAGGGCGGACTGCTTTTCACACTGCTCCTCCTGGGTGAGTGGCACTTTGCTCACCTAGCACCGCCAGGCAGTGATGAGGCAGCTTTTGTGACTGAATCTCTCAAGTAGCGGGTTACTCGAGAGCAAAACATTTTCCCTGTCATCTGGCAGCATTTCTGTGTTTGCTTAGGCTTCTTGTCTGCATGTGCTCAGAGTCACTGCAGCCCTAAACCACAGGCTGCTGATTGCTATGTCTTTCCTCGTTCTCAGAGGCCGGCTTGCCGCTCTGCGGTAGCAAATATTTAACAAATTGGTATTGTTGCAATTCAGCATCTGGTTGGATTATCAAAATGAAAGCCTGACTCTGTTGTAGTCAACAGCAGCAACCGCCCAATGCCAGTGGGTCCAGGACGTCGCCCTCCGTCTTCTCTCAAGGCACCCAGCTGCAGTCGCATGCATGTGTGTAAGGGGAATTTGGCATTTACCCAACCCTCACACAGCCATAGGTACTATCAAACAACAATGATAGTATGTAGGAACTAATAGACAGTGCTTTCCAAGGCAGCTGCAATCTCCTGCTTTTTGGGAGCAGGTACAATAGAAAGAACAACCGTTGCTCAAAACAAGCAAGCTGTCCCAGATAAATGCAACGTCAAATTCCTCCAGACCAGTGGTTTTCCTGCAGTCCATCTGGATGTCTCTGGGGAATATTTGATTTAGAAGAAGTGGCCCAGACAAGGACAGCTGGAGTCTCAGATCAAAAGAGAGCCCCTAGAAGGAGTCCTGGTCCCCCTCCCCTGGGAGCAGGGTTTTACTAGAGTATCATCAGAGGTTTTCCAAATTACATCTTATGCTTCAAACATTTGCTGACAATTCGGACAGTAGAACAGACTGGCTTTCAGAGGCTTGGAATGGAGATCTGAGTCCAACCACTAGGATGCCACAACTGGGTTTTCCAAGAGGGAGGCTAGAGCAGTGGTTAGGACCATCAGTCATCTAGCCACTATCCAGGGGCTCGGGTCAGCTTGCACAGCCTCTGGGAAGGCCTGTCTTGCTGCAGCGATGCGTCTGTTGGTGCCAGAGCTACCTAGATTCAAGAGCTGTATAAGCCTGTTGCTGTCACATCTACCAAGTCCAGAGCTGACGTAGCTGTTGATGTGTACCCCGTGCTCACTCTCCAAGGCAGACAGTTTTAAATGCACAGCTCCTCGGTTACCAGCTCACTGGGGAGGTCGGTGCGGTGGATCAGCTTCTGAACAAGGGAGTTCACTACAGAAATAGTCCAGAATGCAAATATCTGCTCAACACTTAAAGCCACAGAAAGCACTGAGAGATGCTCATGGTTTGGTTGAGCCTAGGGTTGCCTTTATGCCCTGAGCATGGCTTCTCTGCTGCAGTCAAGCTAGTCATCAAGCCCCTGTCCTCTGGTTAGGCTAGAGCAAATCTTTCAGAAAAGACCCTCAGACTTTGATTGAAAGACTGCAGCTAATGGAGAACCACCGCTGCCCTAAGCAAGGTGTTCCAATGACCAACACCCATCGCTGGCACACCTGACCCTTGATCTGAATTTGTCTAGCTACAGGATGCCATCACTGCATCCTGATTTGTCTTTGACTAATGGACTAAAGAGCCCTCTGCTTCCAGAAATCTTTTCCCAAGTAGGTACTTAGAGATGACTTGATCTCAGTCAACTATCATCCTTCTCTTCGTTAATCCAAATGAACAGAGCTCCTCTCATCCATCATAACAGCTATAATGGGCCCTTTGGACCTTGGAAATCTGGTAATATATAAAAACAAATGCACAAATGGATCCCACTGGACCACCTTCATCCAGATCATAAGGTCTTTGAATTACCACTGGACGAGGGGCTAGAAGTTTAGACTGTGTGTAATATGGAAAAGAAATTATGGGAAAGCCGTACAACAGGCATCACTCCACTTTTTCCCTGTGGCCTTGACATGCGGGTGAGTTCACTTGTAAAACAATGCGCAGCAAAGAAACGGTTTATGGGCCACAGGGTTTGTTCCTGCCAGTGCCATCTGCTGCATGGGCAGCCGTGCTCAAACATCTGGGAAGGTGCTTAGGAGGGTGTTTGCCACTGCCGTGCACAAGTGCAAAAATTATCTCGGTGTCTTCTGCCAACTGCTCTGCACTGGAAAAGTCACAGAAGTCAAAGCTTTGGCAGCCAAGGTCACAACAGAAATGGGTCCCAGGGCAGTTATTTTGATTAAAGTGTCATGATTGCATTGTAGCAGTGGGGCTTTATCAACTTAGCTGGATGCTTAGGATTCTTTAGGGCTAGAGAGGGAAAGGTCTCTGCTACTCAAGTACAATGCAGGCCATAAACATGTAGAAGGTTATTGCCAATGAAAGCTTGTTGAACCTTTAGACCCTGACCATAAAAGCCTTTCCAAGTGTTTATGATGTGGCCTATAAAGCTCTTATTTAGCCTGTGATTGACCCTCGCGCTGCCTGGAGCAGCACCAGAGGGAAAGCTTTGCCTGAGAAGGCAGAGCTGCTGTAATGTGCTGGGCATGTCCCGTCTTTGCTTCAGCATCCTGTTGTGTTTTGCACAAATGCAGTTGCTCTCTCTCCCCAGGGTGGCTGGAAACAAGGGAATTCTCAATGAAGTCTCTGGCGCAGCCCGGGAAACCTCAGTTTAGGCTGTGGGGTCCTTTTGAACGTGATCAGGACATATCTGGCAACGTCTAGGAGTGGGTGCAAGCCAGCTGCCCAGGCATTTGAAGCAGGGGCTGTATTTCGTTACAGAACGGTCTTCCCATATGAAAGCCTCCTGAGCTGGATGGGTGCATATTAGCTAGACATTGGTATCATCGATCTGGTTTGTATATACCCACAGGCGCCTGCGTGCCTGCATAATAAACAGAGACAGTGTTTCAATAACAATATTAAGCATTGTGAAATATAGATTCCCATGACTGCCTGTGTCTCCATGTCCCTCACGGGCACTCCCGGGCAGAGGTCTAGTGAAAGAAATTGAGTCAAATGCGCATTTTCTTTCCAAGATGCATTTTCTTTCCATGCACTGGTTTTCTTTCCAATATGCAAAGGCAGTGAGCAATAAAAAGAAGTTCAGAGGCCTTTCTTCTATAAGCCTTGATAGGCGAGGGAAGAGTATAAGCCTTGATAGGGGAGGGCAATTTTGCCTCCTTTTTTCTGAG